GTAACCAGTAAACTGTGTCGCTATGTCTAAACTGGGGGAGGAGGCTTTGCAGGCGTTGTTTTATTTTTTTATATCAGATATTTAAATGTGATGTAAAGAGGAACACTAGAAGCGAAACAAACGTTTCGACACAGTAAGCACAAAAACACAAGAGGAAAAGCACACGGCAAACACACCTTGTTAAGTTGTGAGGCGGCAGCACAGTGGATGAGACCAGGCACGGCTTCAGCTACTCCATCGTAGTTTTCCTCTTCCTTGTGCTCTTACCTTTTTTCCCAGGCTGGGCATGAATTAGGTGAAATGGTGATGGCTGCTCTCTAGCAGCTCTCGCGTCACGTGGTCAAACGCTCCCAGCTGCTAGACCAGATTAGGACCTCCCCACAGAGCGGCTGCAGCTACAGCAAAGATGGCTTCGTGTTGGTAATGCAGTTTATGCTGATTTTCTTTAGGCCATAAATGTATTCACGAAAAATCTAAAATAATATGCGGTGCCGATATTTAATCCAAAGTGAAGATGTAAACCCAATTATAATATCAGATTCTAATACATTTCACTGCTGATATGAACACTTTCTAGAGAACTGTTTTGTTATGCTAACCTTTCTGGCGTCTTAAGATAGTGAAAAGGTGTATTTTTCATAAGATGAATCCGAAGATATATGTATTTTTTAAAATGGTCCTACAGTTCAGTATCATGGGTTAAATTATTTTAAATTTTTTGTGCATGTGGTCAAAGATGTGTACAAATATAAAAATATTTATCAAATGCATTTACACTCATCACGAGCTTTGCAACTATATTTGTTGAGTACAATAGTCAGACTGGTTTGAGATGATAGCAAGGGAAAATTAAATCATATAACCACTCATTACAACCAAGGTGTGCAGAAGTGCATCTTACACAACACATCAGATCTTAAAGCAGATGGGCTACAGCAGTAGAACACCACACCGGGTGCAGATCCTGTCAGCTAAGAACAGAAAAGTGAAGCAACAATTCACCCAGGTTTCCCAAAAGTAGACAACAGATGATTGTGATCACACATGGAAGTTTATGAGGTAGATTTCCTGCCGAAGCATAAACCAGGTGTAAAGCAGCTCTGAAGAACAATCCAGTACTAATAACATGTACCTAACAAAGTGGCAGTGAGTCCATATGTAGATACTAAACAATCATACACCTCATCATGGACTTGAAAAGAAAATTTACACATTGCTGTAAATGGAAAACCTACTGAAATGTTCCAGTATAAAGCTAACTTCAGTATAGTTCACCCTTCAGTGTTACAGAAGTCAAGTAGGACCCCACACATCAACTGTTTATTCACTTTTATTGTTTTTTCTTGTCCTGTTTGGGTGTTTTATTAAGCAGAATCACGGTCTGAATGCTTTGTTGTGCCGAACACATTTACTTTGCCAAGAGGAGCGCTGTAGAGTCTCTATAGGCTCATCTTCTTAGTCTTTTATTTATTTATTTTTTCTTTTCATTTTATGTTATTATCCACATTATTATCTGTGTAGTTATACAGTGCCGGAGCTGGCATGCTATGAGTTCCAGGTTGGAAAAAGAGACCAGCAGCATTAACGACATAAAGAGGAGACAGAAACAGAGAGTGAAAAAAAGGAGGGTAGACAAGTCCTTTATTGTCAATTCAGAGCTTATATTTGCTGTTATAGACTTTTCAGAAAAAGAAAGGCATATTTTTCACATGTATGTGCTGGAGGTTTTATATTCAGTCTAAATACTTCTTTATAATGGCTACACCAAACACGAATAATAGGATATTTCTGCTTTTGTGTTCACTTGTGTATCGTTGAACTTAATTATGATGTAATATTTTGTCCTTATGCGTGCATATGTAACAGTGATGGCGATTAACACAGTTAGTAAGTATGCACAGACACCATATGACCGTCATGACGATACTGATGCATTTTCTTCTTCACCTTGACCTTCAGGCTGTTCAGTCTTTCACTTGGACAGCTTCAAAAAGGAGCTAATGATTTTGAGGTAAGCTGCGGTCCTCGGAGCCATCAGTCAGTGTCGCTCAGTAGGTCGCAAATCATACTCGACTCACTGACACACTGACCCCCCCCAAGGAAAGTCGTGCGTGTCGACTGATGACTGATTTGTACCAAACATGACATGTATGCTCTTCATACAACCGTCATCTGCTACGCAAACGGTGCAGTAGCTTCACATCTCTGAAAAGCTCCTGTACCATGCCATCCTGTACCATGCCATCCTGTACCATGCCACCTATTAATGGAGTGGAAGCGGACCTGCTATAACAGCCTGCACAGAATTTCCTAATAATGTGAAAGTCAGAGCAAACATATGCGCCAGATATGAGCAAATGTTGGGAAACACAAGGACAGTGTTGCCACCTAGTGGATCCTCTGAATACTCACCTTCTGGAAGAGGTTTAGAGCATCGCACAGTCTGCACAAAACTCCACATCAGTTACACCTTATTCAGAATAATAATTCACACAGTGGCGCTTGTCCTGATTGCACACTAAAAGCTGCGTGGATGAAAGTGCTAATTAACCATCTTCCTTTTCTTCACTTCCTTGTTAACTTCAGAACTTGTGCATATGTCAAGGCCTGGAATTAATAGGACTTTTTAAAATGACCTTGTTTGTCCACTCTGTGAGGCGTCTGAAGGTAACATGGCTCATTTTACATCCTTGGTGAGGAGCATAGCGTGGCGACTTGAATTACCTTCCCCTCAGCTCGTCTCCCTGTGAAAATCCCATTTTCCCCATACGGTGATGGTGCAATGTGCTGAGCTCGGTGATATCTCAGGGCCCCTCCAAAGTGGAGGAGGGGCGTGCAGACATGCTTACTGCCTCCCTTTTAGAAACCATCATTTCAGCAGGATCGATAGTACGTCCCACTCAAACCATGGCTGCCAGAGTGCTCTGCCTCTGTGTGTGCGGACAGCTGCGCCGAGGCAAGTCCGAGCGAGTGGCTCACGCAGTCAAGGTGAATGATCGCATGCTGCGTCAGACACTCTGCTCCTCACTCGCTCCGAGGTGCAGTTTCTGAGGAGGACCGGTGGGTGGATGCTGTCTTAAAGCATTTGGATGCAGTTGCAGACTACATACTGATGAAGCTTCTGTAGCTATTAAATACTTCATGCAGAAAAATCTATCTCCTAGCCGGCTCACAAAAGTGCACAGAGAGTAAATAAAGATTTGCAACTGATGAAGCTCTCCTGATGGCTTTTTTGCTTACACCTCTTTCAGTGTACTGGAGGTTGAGAACTTAAATAGATTCATGGCTGTAGGTGAGAAGACTACTCAAGTTTCAGAGGACTGCTTGCAATTTAAAACCAGCAGAGTCCATTTTTGTAAAGCAGAAATCCTTACGCAGCAATAAAAAAAATTATCTGTATCGGTTATTAAAGAAATGAGCTTAGACAGTGAGGTTTAGAACATAATTCAGTCTGTGAATAGTGATGTCTGGCTGGCAAAAGTAGACCCCCCCCCCCAACTTTTTAACAACGATGGTCTCCCTTTTTTATGTTAAGCTATACAAGCTTCTAATCGCACTTGTATTTCCAACAGATTCATCTCCTAACATCGCAGGTAATTGGATATTCACTTTATTTAGAAGATGACATAAATTGTCAGAAATGCCTGCTGCTGTTTTTCCCATCACTGCAGCTATAATTCAGATGTCTTTTCTTGTCAAACTAAAGGTCCAAAACTAAAAGAAAGTGACTTTAAAATTATGTAAAAGAAAAATATAAAGAAAGAAAAGCGGCACACTTTAAAGTTTGGGGAAAATGTTTTATTTTTATGCGCTTACGTTCCAGTTCCAGTTTATCATTTTCTGCCAAATGATGAAAAATTACACGATCAATTTGGGCAGCCTAGCATATATGAAGAAGAAAGAATAGAAAATACATAGGCTTCTGATCACTTACACGCTCTTTAAGCAGCGTCTTTGTGTGTACATGAATCAGCAAGCATGAATTTAAGCATGTACTCTACATGTGTGACTTACAGCGTTACAATAAGGAAAGGGCATCGGCTGGGAAAGGTGAACCACTGCGGGACGCCAGGCTGTGGATGGGACAGGATGTGTGGTGCAGTATAAGCATCCCCTCTGCTCAGGTCGCTGCTCATTTGTCAAGTTGCCTGCAGACTTGAATGGTGCATTGCTGCTAAAACAGAGAGGCAATCAGCAGTGGAACGGCACACCTCCGGGGAGGGGTCCCAGGTGGATGATAGCCTTCCTGGGTGATCTGCAGATTAAATGGTGTTTTTCTCAACAAAATAAGCTCAGCCAGAGGGTTACTGCAGTAACTGCAGACAGATCTGCATTATTCTAAGGTAACCATTTCATCCTAGGGGATATTTGAATAACTGATTAGTGTATTCATCAGAAATTAATCTCAGAAATATTTGCTGTGCATGTTTGGTGCTAGACGCAAAGCTCACCGTGCGCATCCCAACTGGAGATAAAGCCTGCAAGTGACCGGTGTCTGATGAGGCCGGCATTAGCTCACACTGCTCATTAGAAAGTATCCAGGACACGCACCAGCCCTTCTCATCAGTCACACAGCGGTTCGGCAGATGGCAGGAGCAGACTCTCGCGTGGTTAAGGCTCTCCTGGCTGCCTCCATAAGGCAAGCGTGCATCCACGAGCTCAGCATGGTATCCATCCAATTTGGAAATCTGCAGCGGCAACTCTTTCCTGACAGGCAGACATCTACATGGCAAGAAATTATAAACACGAATCAGTGAAATGAAACCATATTTTCTAATCTGGCTCATCAGGTGCATAAAATAATGGATGGCATGAATAAAGCCTACAGTGGATGAAGGTGTTATAACACCCTTGTGCTGTCAGGTTGTTAGCAGTGTGCAATAGTTGTAGATAAAAATATACAATTAAATATCAAAGCTGTGTTCACTGTAACGCAAGATACTGACTCATTAAGCGAAGACAATAATGACGAGTTTTCAGACAAAGCTTAAAGACAATATTAATGTGATGCTCCGTATTTAAATCATTGTTGGGGATATTTTAAATTTCCTTTACTGTTGAGAGGAAAAAAAGCAACAATTTAATCCAACTACTGCATGTGTGTTAAGAGGGTCCAGCGTTCCTCTGAGCCATAGGCGTTCATTGTCATAAAACACGAGCCACACTTTTATTGTCTCTACAATGGTCACAAAAAAACCAAAGAAATGAATTCAGGCGCACATGCAGTGTTAGGCTGCCAGAAATACCAAATGTTAATTAATCTGTGGATGAAAATAGTTTCCAAATATCCGGTGCTTACTCCTGTTTGAGTAAAAAACTACAGTCCCATCTGTTTCAGAAAATTGCTGATCCAATTTTATTATTAAAAAAAAAAAAAAACAACTATATGTCCATGATTCATTTTGAAGATTTTCATCAGGGATTGCAGCTGAGCACTACAAGCAGGCTCAGAAATGGGAAGAACTGGGAAAGCAGACAAGCAAGCAATGAATTTTTGGTTGTTTTTCAATTCGTTTATTTAATTTGTGTACACTTTAAAGAACACTAACTGTTACAGACTTGAAATGATTGTGGAGTTTTTATCAATAGTACACATGAAGTGGGAGTAATGCGCTGTAATTAAAATAGTGTATAATGTCAATTTAATTCGGTGTAGCTATAAAATTTAACAAAAAAAAAAAAAGCAGACTAAAAGCAGTATAAATGAAAGCCATCAGTAAAAATAATGTTAACCTTTCTTCCTCCTAGACTACCTCTGATTTTGAGTCGGGCTTTTTCTGTTTAACACTCACTCGTTTAGCCGTGGATTTCTTTTGGTGAAGACAGTGAAAATGTGAAGAATCACCCCGGAGCCTCTGCCCCTGCTTCTGCTGCTAAAATGGGTCGCAGGCAGATAAACACATCAACAGGCCACTCTGGAGGAACCTATACATTATATATCTTTGTCCCTTTGTGTTACCTGTTTGTGGCAGTAACAAATGGCAATAGTGAATGTAGGCCAAGAGACAGCACAGATCTCTATATGACACACTTGTTATGGAGGATATGGAGCGCTCCTCCAAAAACCGGGAAGGCAGAATACAGTCCAGCACAAAACAAGTGAAAAAAAGGCCACACCAACAGGCTGCATGCAAGATGAACAGGACACGCACACATAACTATGGACACCCATTGGTTTTGTTCAAAAACATGAAGACAACAGTGTCTCAAAGAGGACAGTCATAACGTCACCAACACAGGATGTTAGGATGATTTCATGGTGATGTTTTTGTGTCAGCTTCTTTAATTTCTTCCCATAAAGAAATATAGAAATTTAGTTGTGAAATGTTATATTTACAGGTATGAATTTTAGGCATTTACATGACATTGCTTTTTTTTTGTTTTACTTTTTTTCTCAAAGACAGTCAAATGGTACCCCCCCCCCCCAAAAAAAAAAAAAAAAATCCATGTATTTTTATTTTCGTTTGTCTTCGTTTGACTTAAAAATATGGCAATCAAACAGAAACTTGAAAAGTTCAGACACTGTATTTAATTGAAGTTAGTAAAAATAATAATAATAATAATAATGAGATAGTCTGATTAACATCTGGGGACGGGGCATGTTTAATACTACTTAAGAGGCATTGGCTCTTCTTTAAACAGCACATTGTGTTACGCTGGTGTGCAGACTCAGGTCTGGTATTTTCGTGCTGAAATAAGCAAGACCTGCTCTTATTTCATCACATGACTCAACACCTTGTGTGTCCCCAAACCTGTGCCCCCAGTAGAGCTTTCACTGCCATTCGTTCAGTGGATAGAGAGAGAAAAGCTTCTTTGGACTTTTTTTTTAAATTATGTGTAACAAAGATGATGAAATCCCCAAGTTATTAGCAATTTCACACTGAGAAGCATGATTTGCCCACACACTCTTCGAAGGAGTGCTGGATGTTAACCCTTTAAAGCCTGAACCATGAAACGAATGCCAGATCTTTTTTCTTAATGGAGTGTTTATTGGACCTTCTAACAAAGGTTTAAAAAATAGATCTGAATTAGTATACATGAGTTTTAATTTGTACCGTATTTGCTACAACTGGTATTTGCTTAAAATGTATTGTGCAATTTAGGTTTGATAGGTCTGACGGTGTAGAAGTCTCAAAAACTCACGTATCAAATAAGATTCGTTTGGAAGTTAAGGACGTGTTCTGTGTCATCCTGCTGCCCCATCCACACTCTAGCAGTTAAACCCTTTTTTTTTTTTTAAATCAATAACCACAAGTTTCACACTCCTTGTTTTTTACTGTATCAAGAGGATGGGCGTGTTTCCTTACAGCGAAGAGTAAACAGACACCTTATTGTCACATTATGAAGCCTTTGACGCTTCCAAACTACCTCGCATCTCTTGTCTTTTTCAAGCTAAATAAACTAACCTCAGCTCATAATCCAATAAGTACTTAACTTGTTTACACTAACCTTGATACAGTTACTGTATTTCACACAATCTCCAACCTGGCTTCGAAATAGGGAACAATTTTGAGATCTTAAAACTATATTACTGATGGTTTTCTTCATTCTTTGTTCTTCTGTTCTCTTGTTTGTGCCTGCTGATTGTATTCTTGTGAATTCACCTTCATTCTCAATGAGAATATTAAAGTGCCCGATTACATACAGGTTAAATAGATCAGCCTCACAAGATGCTCATTTCTTAATCTTATAAACATAATTAGTTGTTAAATAGTGCAACATCATGTGTGTTTTATCTTAGTTTCAGTATCTGATGTGCTCTTTGAGGTATTTTCAGTTAAACAGATCACTGCAATCTGTTTTTATTTACATTCTGCGTGGCATGCCAGATCTTACGGAAACTGGGTTGTTCACGGGCATGCTTGAAATTATTATAGCTGTATGAGAGCTTAATCGAGACTTTCCAGCTGCAGTCTCTCCCTCTTAAGGCTGATGTGGGCATTATGCTTTGCTCCAGCGCCAGTGTAGAGAGCAGACTGGCTGGTGCTGACACTGACAGCTGACAGAGCTGCCGCTCATTCACAACAGAGCAGCCAGCTGTCACAAGTTCAGCCTCTCGCTATTATATCAATCCATCACAGCCCTGTACTACCATCTCTCTCATACTGAGGGAGAAACTGATGACACCCTGCACTTCATATGTTTCACATATCAAGCTCGGCCTTCAAATCGGGATCTTTAATATCAGGGGGTTAGTAATACTGTAAGAGATTCTTTCAAAATCCATATCAGGAAATAAAAGATATCTTGGACCGCTCCACTCGCCAGGAATTCACACTTCACAGTGTGTTTGTCCCTGTGCGTGCTTACAGTCCTTCCAGTATAACCACATTTGATCTGTTGTGTCATTAACAGTGTCTTTTTCACTCGACTTGGCCTTGGGAGGAATCTCATCAGCTTTACAAAATGAGGTCTGCAAAGAAGCACTGGTGCAGTCAAACACACCACCTTATTCTACGAAGTCAGGAACGCTGCATTCAGTCCATCTCCGTAAGACTGACTGACTGAAGTGAGCAGAGATTTTTGCCAGCTCGCCTCAACCTCCTTCCTGAGTCCAGTTTTCATCAGCAATGTCACGTTTCCTACGCCACCTTAAAACCCTCTAACATAGCATTCAACTCCAACTACGCTCCAGATTTCTGTATTTTTTATTTATTTTTTGCTGCATCTTGTCAGATGCTCAGAATTTTGCTGTGCTGTAAAAACCAAACGAAACAAGGTGTTCACAGAAAAGATGGTAAATCTACACCTTCAAAAGAAGTCTGTCCTCAGTCAAGGCAATTCTGCTTTTTGGCTAAGGACTACTGAGAATTACTCTGAACTGATGTGTAAACCAAGCAGGCTGCTGAGCTTGTGAATCAATGTGTCTATTATCTTTTCCGGACAGATCAATGAAGCTGAGGAATGAGCTATGAATGGCAAAAAGAAAGAAAAAAAAAAAGCCGCACGTAAACTCACCAGGCAAGCGTTACAGCCTGCTCCATTATTTGCAGGAGTCAAGATACTTGACAGATAACCTTTATTCTCACGGTTTAGCGTTAACCTCAGTTTAGTCAAAGAATTACTAAAAGACGACCGGCTGCTGTGGCACAAAGAACCAAAAAGGCAATTAGTTGCTAAAATTGATTAAGTCTTCTGCAAGAGTGTATTCACACGTCCACTGAACTAAGCATACCGAATAGAAGAAACAACTTTGAATTTATACGCTCACATAATCTGTGAGGCTTTACAAATATTTACCCACTGTGTCCTTGGCTGGGACAGCGTCAGAGAATATTAAGTCAAGTGGAGAAGCAAAGGCGATGAAGTGACAGTAGCCAGGTAAAGCATACAGAGGTAATCTAATAGGACATGTAAAAGGGCCCCTCCTCATGGCTTATTCATTATAAGGGATGCCATTACTGAAAATGGCGTGGGGTATGTGAGAGATATGCCAGCAGGGGCATTTTCCCCGGTGTCAGTGAGTACAGACGAGAGGATGGATGCTGCGAGGATCAGCAGACTGATGCAGCTGCAGCACTGAATGCAGATGGTACATGCAGAGAGTGCTTGCCCATAGCTGATGGATAACAGTGCTCGTCTGATGCAGATATGGACACTGACTGATATCAGCAGCTGATTCCCAATATTGCATTACATGAATTTTGCTGATTCAGCAATCTGTGCAAATAACTGTGTCTTAATAAAAGCAGAGGATACAGGCAAATTAACGAGAATCCTTTCATATAATACACACACACACACTCTAATATGCTTAAAACTGCTACACATAACCTTTGAGTGCACAGAGTCAAGGTTAACGTGAGATGTATGCAGTTCTCCTCATTCTCCTCCACAAAATGTGGGATCACGGGGTGCAACTTGGGGCCCAAGTCATATTGGAGGAGAGAGGAAAAAAAAACAAAAAACTTGCTGCTGCAGTTGGAAGCAGACAGCGCTGCACTGCTGCAGAGAACAGCCAAGACGCTGATGCCTCGAAACGCTTTCAAACAGAAGCACCATTATCTGTACACTGCCCGTGCAGCGCGCTGCAAATGTCATCGCTGAAAGCCGGGAAGTGTAACACCAGGCGCGTTTCCATAAGGAGTGCAAAAAGAGAAGTTCAACCTCAATGTCTGACTGAATGATGGATGATCTCACTCTCACAGAGTTGTGCAACGCACAAGAGACAAATTCGGTTGGTCAAGATATTTCTATATTTTAGCGCACTGCAGAATAGCACCAGTGGAGCAGTGCATCTTGGGTAATGAAAGGTAGGTATTAGGGATTGCAGATTAAGGACATTTTACCGAAGGAAATGTTGTACCTAGAAGAACTGTACAACTTTGAGAGAGAGAGGGGGAGCTCTGAAATGAATGCATTAATTTACTGCCTGTGTGATTATTACTCATTCATCATAATGCCTGGAGACACCGTCTCCCATACGCATTTGGTGTGTTTTGTGTTTATGTACTGGCTTGAAAAATTGCTCTTAGTTACTGGTTAGATTATAATAAATCACGCAACTTTTCCCCCAATGAAACCAGATGACAAATTTGATTTAAAAGCACTGATTTTCCTAATTCACTCAAACGGCTTCACATTTAGTGATCTCAGATTAATTAAACATTCTTTAAACGTCATCATTTTTCAAACCGTACCTGAGGACATCCTCCCAGGTTTTTATTTTTATTTTTGTGTGTGTGTGTGTTTATGAGGAAATTGGATTTCAGTGATGTTGGATACTGTGACAAGGGGGAGATGGCCTCTGCGTGGAGCAGGGACAGTTCCTCATTGAGGTTTTGAGCACCCTCATATCTCAAAGCAGCTTTTGCTGTGGTGTGAAAACGAATAAAAGAGGATGGCGAGTTATGTGTGCGGCGGAGGGGGTGGTGGGGAGGTGTGTAGGTGGGGGGGGGG